AAATTTTATTTTTTATAATCTTTATTTACCTCTTGTTCCTTTCTCCTGTAGTAGTTATTGTTTTTCTAATTGATAATTTTGGTTTATTTTTATAGTCTTATAATTTTTAACTAAGTTTGTTTTTTTTTAATCTTTGTAATTACTGGACTAAATTAACATGTTTGTTATCCACAGCTTAACTTTCCCATTTTTATTTTGTATTCATTTATGATAATTGAGTATTATTTTATTTATTATAGACTAGATAAGTCGTGTGTACATAATACTTCTACCCAAATTTCTTTACTTAGTCATAAGCTAATTGTAAATTTAGAAAAATTATTATTATTATCATGATACAAATATAAGGATTATAATGAAAGAAACACGAGTGGTTCAATTTTAATTTTTTTAACAATTTTTGTCATTGATCTTACATAAATATGGTGGATATTGGTTAAAGTGTTGACTGTTGATTTAGTATTGTTTGTACATATAATATATGATATAAAACATATAACTTTTTATCTATTATGATTATTTAACGCGATTCAAACCGTTATATGGGAGTCATCGGGTAACATTTGCAATGTTTAGTTACGTTATCGGGAAACTTAAAAGGTTTCCCACTTATATTTCAATTCGTTCAACCTCAAAGCTTTTCCACATTATAGGTGTTACGTAATTCATAATAATTCCGAGAAAAACTGAAATTTCATGAAACCGTGGACTATAGATAAACCTTTGTTATTTTTAATATCAACAGATACTACCACCAATTTAAACTGATATATTAAGTCAACTGTTACATTACAACTACACGTGCTTGTATCAACTTCCTTAGGGACTCCACAGCGACATGTTGGGCACCCCCTTAAAGTCTGGTGATTTTTGATATCGTTAATGTATAAAAAAACCGTTGATTTACATTAAAACTACAAGAACATGTATTAACTTCCTTAGGAACACCATAACGACAACTTCAAGAAGCGCTGGCGCGAAAATGTCCCATCGTCTAGGCTAAAGTATGTATATAAAAAAATTGTCCGACTTGGTGTTATGAAGTCACTCAGGAAGTTTGGTGTGTAAGAACTTACACCGCATCTGGTGGGTATATTCATATCCTCGTTGGCTCTGTGGTATATCCCCAAAAAATGGAGAGAGCTAAAAGTTGTATTTATACCCAAACCTGGAAGGATGAATTATACTGTCCCAAAAAGATACCGACCATTTAGTCTGACATCGTTTTCCATGAAGACATTGGAAAGGCTATGCGAAAGGTACATAAGAGATGCAGTGATTACAACAACACCACTACACCCAAACCAACATGCATACACCCCAGGCAGATCTACTGATTTAGCCCTTCATCTGGATGCTGGCCGGATAGAGATCCCTGGACAATAAGGAGTCCGCCTTGGGTATTTTCATAGACCTAGAAGGTGCTTTTGATAAAACCACCTTTCCAAAGATAATACGCTCACTAACCAACAAGAATATTCCACACATGGTTAGTGGGTGGGTACATGACATGCTCTCAAAACGAGCAGTAAACGTAGAAGAAGTGTACCTAAGAGGCTTGGTTTCAAGAGGATGTCCACAGGGAGGGGTACTATCACCTCTACTGTGGAATATGGTCCTCGACATCCTCATCAGCCGCCTCAATAATGATAGTCACTACACAATAGCATATCCAGATGACCTTATCATTCTGCAAACAGGGAATTTTTAGAACATACTTTGCGAAAGAATGCAACTAGCTCTAAAAGTTATAGAACAGTGGTGCAAGGACCATTCACTGTCTATCAATCCTTAGAAGACAGAAATGGTCCTTTTCACAAGGAAAAGGATGAAAACGGAATTAAAACCTCCAGAACTCCTGAACATAAAACTAAACTTTGCAACACAGGTGAAGTACCTAGGTCTCACCTTTGACAGCAAGTTAACATGGAACTCGCATTTAGAAAACATAGTTAAAGCAGCATACATTGCTTATGAACAATGCCGCGGAACCGTGGGGCGCACCTGGGGGTTTATCCCCCAGAGTCGTCGCATGCTAACATACGGTGCAGTTGTCTGGGTACCGAAAACCCAAAAATTAACAGCTATCCGTAAACAAGAACAAATTCAAAGAACAGCATGTCTCAACATAACAGGCGCCATGAAAACAACACCGACCAGAGCGATGGAAGTCATTCTTAGTCTCACTCCCTTTGATATTTACTTCAAGGAGGTTGCTCTGACGACCTGATGTAGGATCTGGTGAGGCGAGGTGTCACCTTTGACAGGAGGCGCTCGATACGCTTCTAATGCTTCAAGCGAACGTGGACTCCATCTCACCGACATATGTCTTTCATAAGCCATGTAAAAGCTCAGGATGTGGAATATACTCCAGATTCTTAAACCTAAACATAAAATGGGCTGTGAGCAATAGTGCAAGTGTAGTTCAAACAGAGATACGGGGATTCGCATAGCAGCAAAATAAATAACCAGAAACAATATCACTGGAAGGAACATGCTCATCTATACAAATAGCAGACAAGCACTACCCACCCTGAACAGACCCCGAATTTACTCAGAGTTAGTACTAGAATGTCACGAAGTTTGACCGAAGTATCCATCAACAATGTGGTCACCTTAAGATGGATCAAAGGTCACGCCACATTGAAAAGTAACCGTCTTGCTGATTCACTAGCCAAGAAAGCAGCCAACCAAATACTTTTTGGACCTGGTCCTTCTATTGGCCTGACAAAATCGTTAGTGACAGACCCTTGTGAAATTCAAGGAAAGATGGGATGAAACAAGAAATTGCAGAGCTGCCGGGGAGCTTTCAAGTTATCCTGACAACACTGCAGCAAACAAATACTTGACTATGACCAGACAGAATCTACGCCTAGTCACAGGCATTCTGACTGGTCATTGCCAAGTATGAAAGCATCTCCATATCATGGATTTGTCAGAATACGCACTCTGCAGAGGATGCGAACAAAAAGATGATATCCTTTACGATTAGAAGATTTGTGTTCGACGAGAAGGCCCCCTTTGCGATGTTGTCAATGTCAACTACATTAAATCTGTAGGCTGGCTCACGAGCTAGAAGGTGCCTATCATCTCAGGAGGATGCACAATCGACCTAATGAGGCCTAATTGCCGTGGGGGTAACCCACCCTCCACACGTTACAAATACAGAGAGATACAGGGTACGGTGTACTGGGTACTATTAAGCTTATTCACCAATAAAATTAATGCTTTTTAAAGATAAAACATTTTTACAGAAACTTAATACTAAAATTTATAGAAAAAGTATGTATTTTATAAACAATATAGTCGTTTAACATAAAATAATATTTTCTCCTCGTTCGCAGCTATTTCATCGGCCACATTTTCTATTAGATCTTAGTAATTTCATTGTAGCTGAAAATAAGTAGATACCTAAACTCTAGGGATTTTCGGCCTTCAGAATATATCGAAAATCCCCAGATTCAATTTTGGCATTATATCTCCTTAATATTAATCAGCTATACAGAAATAGAAAAATTCGAGAATCGTCAAAGATATTGATTTGATTGTGAGAAGACTTGCATGCAAGTAATTGGCTGACAGTGTTTCATTGATATGATGTTGTTTTAGTGAAAAAAGTATTTTGGTAAAACATCAACCATTTTAACCATTTTATTTAAACACGGAAAAAATATATCGGTTCCACTAAGCATATAGAAAATTATGTTAATTAAGATTTGTAGGTATGCATTTGCCTGAGATTAAGAAGCCAAATAACACGCAATAGGGTAACTAGAAACCAAATAGTAAGAATTTTTTCCGAGACACGCTTAAGCTTACGAAAAATTATTTTTCTGTAAATAAAAGTGCTGACATGAACGTCATAAAAACTTATTTATTTAATATAAGCTTTAAGCACTGCTTTTATCAATGAAACCAGCTTTCTTTTTTCCCGTTAAAGGTAATAATTAACTGTGCGTGTATAAATCTTAATATACAGTGGGAGGAACTTTTGTTAATTACTAGATACAACAAAGTTAATCCATAATTTATGGCAGTTAGAAGAACCGAAATTATTTTACTCGATATAGATTTTTCCTCCGTAAGTATTCTAAAAACTTGTATAGTACTATTACTTTAAAAAATGTCGCTCAAATACCTGAACTCTTGACTTGAAAATATTAGGAACTGCCTTCTATAAATAGATACTTTATAAAGTGGGATAAGCTATTATAAGGCAGCTTTAAAATCATTATATTAACATTAAATAAAAGAGCAGAACATACACGTTTGTTGAAAATAAATTAAAATTATTTTTTTTTGTTTCTAAAAGAAGCTCTGAATTTGTTTAACTTTCTAAGGAATCACACTCTCTCCTCAAGTCCCTAGGCAGTTCATTATATTGTTAGAAACGTTTAAACAATAAAGATGCATTTGAATTAGAATAATTAACCATTTTAAAGTAAATATTAGTAGCGCTTGTCTTGTAATCGTGGCTTGGCCCACTTTGAGCCGCCCTTGCTTGGACACGAGCTACTTTTCCTCCCTAACAGCGTTTCCACAGATGAACTGGGTGGAGAGACTGGCGGATAAGATGCCACTATGTTTGTAAGAATGAAGGATTATCTATCTTATCAAATGTGGTCGCTAATTCAATCGATTTTATCCTTGTTTTTTCCCAATTTACAATTTTTGTAAGGTCTAGCTACCTACTAGTGGGTAGACATAAAAATAGATAAGTAGGTACCTATTTGCTAGAATTCAGAAACACATTTTTTTTTAGTGTAAGAATATAAAAAAAACCTTTTTTTTTAAACAAATTTTTATATACAATTTTTAAAAGAGCATTTATCACAGGTGTAGCGCTAACTACCCATTGAACGATTTCCTAACTTAACCAGGGTCTCGGGTTAATTCATAAAAGATCGACTTCTACGAGAAAAGCTTTGATTGATTCTCATCCAATAAATGTCGTAATATTTTATTCATAAACTTATATGAAAGAGATCGATTAACCTTACCTTTTCCATTTCTGCCACTTTCTGCATTCTACCGTCCAACTCCCTTCGGATAGCCGCCGCTTGTTCATCGGCCGAATCAAGCTGCAAAGAAAAAAATATATTAAATCAAATTGTTGGATTTTTTCACACGAAGTTACAATAAAACAGTTTTTAATTAAAGGCGAAGGTGTAAAATTTGAAGCTTTAAATTCTATTTTAAAAAGTAATCAACACGGTGGTCTATTTTTAGAATTACAATTCAGTAATGCTAAAAGTTGAGGCAATGTTTGTTTTAGAGTATCAAGCTGTAAAGAAAAAAATATATCAAATCAAAATTTTGTATTTTTTCACACGAAGTTTCAATAAAGCAGTTTTTAATTAAAGGCGATAGTGTTAAATTTGAAGCTTTAAATTCTAATTTAATAAGTAATCAATAGGGTGTCTATTTTTAGAATTAAAATTCAGTAATGCTAAAAGATACTAAGGTGTCCTTTGAGTCGGCAATGTTTAGTAAGGATCCCCGTTAAAATGCGTAGTATGTTCTTGCTCAGGCAGATGCAGGCTTCCGATCTTTGCTGGTTATATTCACCCACAAGTATTTTAGCCTGTCTTAGCCCCAAGAGATTGTTCCACTTATCGTTTCTTCTACTGTCCAATTATTTTTTAATCTCTTCAATATTGTGTTACTGCTGTTACCGCAGAACGACACAGGCCCATTATATCACGGGACCCAAGTGAAATTTTCTAGGCATCTTCAAACCATTTTTGAGCTGTTTACGTAGGAAATCAACACTTTAATAGCTGCATTGCTATCGGATATGATGATAATCTGTTACGATAGTTTCTTTCGCTCTTAAACTGGATACACTTCTCAATTCTATGAATTTTCTCAAACTTTTAAAAAGCCTTGTTCTAGGCCCATAGACTTCTATTCCAGTTCCTTCTATGGTTTTGAAACCAACCATATAGGTACCACTGAATAGCATGTCTTTCGGTTCTCGCTTGCATCCCAGATCTGTGGTTATGAAGTTTTTCACAAAATTGTACTTCTTGTGTAGTTGAAATGATTGAAAAATTTTGAAAAATGAAATTTTTATGAAGAGAAAAATTAAAAGAATATGATTTAAAATAAAATACTTACCAGTAGGGCGTTGAACAGCAGCTGATGTTCGAATTTTTTCACACCGAGAATTTGTTGAAACATATCGTATAATTGCTCTTTAGATAAAATTAATTCAGAATTTAAATTATTTTGCTGCATTCTAGACGGTCTTTTCGAATCCTCGTCGGTAACTGCAAAAAAAATAATTATTATAATAATGAAATAAGTATCTATAAGTTGATATATAATGGAATGAACATTTAATAGAACAGGCAGTATTTCATCCCAATTGCAGCTACCTGACCAGGTCCTAATGTACCTACACTGATGGGTTTCAATTCCAAAGAAAGCAAAATACCTCTGTCATCTTCATATATAGACATTTATATTTTTATTAGGTAATTTTTTTTCGTTCTTTCTGTTTTATCAGTTATTTTTTCAAAATTCAAATAACTTTTTCGAGTTTATTTGACAAAGTGAAATATTATCAATTACTACCTATGCTTTCACCAAAATGACTTCTTTAAGTTTATTGACTACCTTTTAAAAAATAATTCATTGGATATTTTACAAGAAACATTTTTGTAGCTAATTTTAAATATAAAATTAACTTAAATTAACTTACCTTTTAATATACAGTCGAACTTTGCCATCCAGGATGTAAATACGGTCTCTTTACTTAAACCTTCCATTTCGGGTAAAGATCTGTAACAAAAAAGGTACCCTGAAGACCATGTTCCATGTTTTTATACATATTTTAATATAAGTAAAATAGCCGATTGTTCCAAATTTTGTACTTTTAAAATAGTTGAGTTTTTCCATAAAAGTCATAAATCTGATATTTCGCCAATTTTGCCCGACCCTGTATCATAAAATAGACGATGTAAACAACGTTTATAAATATAATTCGAAACACTTTCCTTACAATTTCAGAATCAAAACAAATATTTTCTACGTAATTTTTTCACAATAGAATTGCAGAATCAAAACAAAAGTTTTCTACGAAATTTGTCTTAATTATCCGGTTTTACAGCCCATTTCAAACTCAAATTGTACAAGAAACCTCAGGAAAGACAAGTTAACTAGAAGTGAAGGATAAAAGGTAAAGGAAAAGTCCTTAATTGTTTAGATATTGGATTCAGTTGTTTTGTTCTAGTTGTTTTATATTCAAAGCTAACCATTTTAAAAAGCTGAAATAATTTATTAGTTGGATTTTATCTGAAAAACCGGTCACGCTATGTTTACGATCTTTTTACAAATTATATTATTATGTGTTTCAATAATTTGAATATATTTAACGTAAAATTTAAAATTCTTAAACAGATTAATAGGGCCAATCAGAGCGGATACTATTTAGCTGTCATTTTAGGCATGATTGGTAAGAGGAAAGGTGTGAAAAAAAGACGAGGTCGTACCAAAAGAAAATAGTAATAGTGCCAGTGTAGTTCAAACAGAGCTAACAGGGATTCTCATAGCAACAAAAGAAATAACCAGAAACAACATCACTAGAAGGAACATGCTGATCTATACAGATAGCAGACAAGCACTACTCACCCTGAACAGACCAAGAATTTACTCAGGGTTAGTACTAGAATGTCACGAAGCTTTGGCCGAAGCATCCATCAACAAAGTGGTCACCTTAAGATGGATCAAATGTCACGCCACATCGAAAGGTAACCGTCTTGCTGATTTTGGACCTGGTCCTTATATTGGCCTGACAAAATCGGTAGTGACAGACCTAACTAAAGAACATTTCCTTGTGAATTTCAAGGAAAGATGGGATGAAACAAGAAACAGAGTTGCCAGAGATCTCTTAAGTTATCCTAACAACACTGCAGCAAACAAATACTTGACTATGACTAGACAGAATCTGCGCCTAGTCACAGGCATTCTAACTGGTCATTGCCAAGTACGGAAGCATCTCCATATCATGAAGCTGTCAGAATCCGCACTCTGCAGAGGGTGCGAACAAGAAAATGAGACCATCGAGCATATCCTTTACGATTGCTCGACGCTCTCATTTATTAGAAGAGTTGTGTTCGGCGAGTATCGGCTAACACCGGCCGATATAAGAGAAGCACATCTTGGCGACGTTGTCAACTACATTAAATCTGTAGGCTGGCTCTCGAGCTAGGAGGTGCCTATCATCGTAGGAGGATGCACAATGGACCTAATAAGGCCTAAGTGCCGTGGTAGTAACCCACCCTCCACATGTTACAGATACAGATACCAAAATAAAATAGTTAGATGCACGCAAAGACCACTTATAGATGATAAGAATAGTGAACCGGGACGAAGCGCAGCCATGAATAAAAAGAAATTGAGAAAGAGAGCTAATTTTCATTATGGTTAGTGGAAATCAATTTAACATATTCTTTAACAAAATTCGAAAGTACAAACGCAACAATACTTTTATGTGCTAATATGAGCCCGAACTCATTTATTATTGCGGGTTTTAAGTCAAAAAATAAAACCTCTGTTACGGTACAGATACGAAAAAGTTTCTTGTAGTAAATTAAGCCCTCTAAATATGATAATTTATGATATTGTTTAACAATACAAAGGTTCTGTTTCATGATAACTTTTATTGCAATTAGTAGACATGAGGAAGTTTCGTTATACTGCCATACATAAATGTAATGTCTGTTATACATTGGGGAATGTTCTTGGCATCTCAAAACAAAAGAAACTCCAAGCATCACCTTTGACCTGTAGGTAAACTTCCTTCACTGATTCCGTTTCACAAAGGAATTGCGGAAAGCATTTTGTAATTAGAAATTGTTTGTATGAGATAAATACCTGGTTCTAATAATAATTAATGACAATATAGAAAAAAAATAGCACTGGTAAAAATGGAGTAGGACAAAATACCTCTATAACAAAAGAACTGAAGAGGAAATTGTTGATATGAGATAAATGTCTGGTCGTTATAATAATTAATATGACAATAAGAAAAAATAGCACTGGTAAAAATGGTGGAGAACAAAATACCTTTATAACAAAAGAGTTGAAGAGGAAATAGCGTAGTGACAAAAACTCATAGAGAAAATAGCAGCTGAAAGACATACTTATCGTTTTTAAAATAAAATTATTTGTCGCAGTTTTTGGTAAAACCTACACCATTTAATGGTTGTACCTACACCTTTGATAAGGGCTTTCGCCGTCGTAATTGGGTTTCACTTAGCCCCGCCTCTGAATCCATTACTATTGTAACAATATAATTCTACTATTAAATTGTTTTTATTAAATTTATAAAGACACCAATATTTTACTAGCAAATGATGAAGATCCGGTTGCCATGTTTTTTAAATATTATCCTTTCTCTCACTTCTATTTTGAGATGCCATGATTTTAATGTTGGTTTTAAAACAAATACATTTGGAAATGTAAGAGTAATAGTCTTCTATCAGTTATAGAGAGACGTTGTGAGGTCATTACGCCCATTAGGAGGCCATAAACAAAGGGCAAAAATTACAGTAACCCTCAACGAACGCGGGAAATAATAGAAAATTGACAGAGTCCTTAATTATAAGTTGTACGGGATCAGTGAACCTTTCAGCCATTCATCATTTCTGCCAATTTTGATCTTTTATAAGTAACCCTAGTTCAGTTTTTCGCAAGTCTCGTAACCTATAGAGAAATTTGTGATTTATTTCGAGCTACCAGTAAATTCTACCAAATAATTTTATACATTTTAAATAAAAATGTATATCGTGATTTTCTATTTTTTTTATTCGATATCATTTTATTTAAAATAAAACACAATTAAAGCTAAAGTACGCGAATTGGGCAGAACAAGATAATACTCATCACAATTTACCCAGAAAAGATGAAATAACGATATCTTAAGATGATTACAACACCCCTTATAATTTTCGGACTACGATATCTCAAAAAGTGATTTTTTTTTAAATTAAAATTTTGGCAAACTCAATGTAGAACGAGCATTTATTTTAAAGTTTTAATTTTTTCCAGTTTCCTAGAAAAAAAATTAAATGGAGGATAAAGTCCATTTAATTTAAAAGTTAAGAATTTTAAATATTTCGGGATTATATTAAGAATAGTGCTGTTGAGGAATGTATTTATTTTCATTATGATATTTCAAAATGTAAAACCCTTCGTCTTTTTTTGAAACTGAAACGATTTAAAACTTCAAAATATACGCATATCTAGATAATATTACTTAATTTATTTTGCCAAAATTTTAATTTTTTGAAATATCCTTGTCCGAAAATTCTATGTTATAAATATACGACTTGTTAAATTTCATCCAAGAAGACGTCTACATAAAGTCCAAAGCAAAAGTTGGAAAGCTTCACTATATAAATTAATAGCAAAATGATATTTATCTGGTTAGATATTTCAATACTTTTAGAGTCAAAAACATTTTGATGTAGCCGCTAATTTGGTTGTTTGTTGTCTGTTAATTAATTATCACGTGACATTCATCCAAATATGTAGTCATGTCAATAATTCAACAGGTTAAAATAAAATGTATTTTTACCTAGTTTCAGTAGCATAGCACAATACTATCAACTATATAAAAGAACTAGTTTATTGAATGTATTAAAAGAACCAAAATGACGTGTACGAGCGTTTTTTTTTAATAAACATGGAATCAGATATTTCCTCTGTTTACTCTGTTTCGTTTTAAATGGCAATCCCTGTAGATATTATTCATAAATTAACGCCAGCTTCTTGAAGTTACACTAGTTAGTTACCTAAAATATGGAATAAGGGCCGATACTTTCAGTCCTATGAAACCATGATTGACTAAATTTAACGATGATTATTACAGTTGACAATAGAGAGATATTGCAAATGTCTATAACATCAGCCACTAATAGTGACAGCGTAATTAGAGGCAAATAAATTTCATGTTAAAATAAGACTTATTGAAAACCTGAAATTTTTACATCAGAGTCCTTGTCCTTCATCTTTTTTGTTGTTTATAATAGTACATATTATGGAAGAAGCATTAGAAATTACCATTTTAGAAGGTGACGATTATATTTAATATTTAAAAATTTCGAACTGATACGAATGTTGGCGAGCGCACCCGAAAACTATTAAGTCGCCACTAACTGATGTACTTAAACATCCACTATTAATAACAGGCACAATCTTCATTAAATTTCTATAATGTAAGTGATATGCGCATGCTCAGATGTCAAAATAAGAGCGGCACTAATAGTGACTGACCTTAAGTGAACTTGCAATAACTCTCTAGTATAATTTCGAGTATGTTTAGTGATCAAATAATGGTTGTGGCCCTGTCAAATTTAACGGATCTGAAAACTAATGATTATAAGTATAATCAAGGTTTTAACCATTTTCACAAATAAGTAAAAATTAATTTGAGATATTATTTAAATGTTTAATAAATTGATGACTTGATTATACTGTACAAGAAAGAAGAGTTTATTTTCGGATTTGGATTTTATAATAATTATTTTTTTAAAAGATTTTGTTATTCAATATTAACTTTGAAAATTGAATGTTTTCATGAGAACCCTTTCCCCTATTTCGTTTTGATGCATTTCTATACCCGTACATTTTTTAAATGATAGTAAAATATTCAATAATACTTAATCATGATCAGTTTATTCGGTTAATTAAACACATGATTCCGTACTCGTATGTTAAATCAGAGACATAAAGTAACGGCCCTTAGTCTTGTAGAGCAGTAAGTAATTTAGTAGTCC